CCCCACCCCATTGGCGGTGGGTACAGCCCCCTCTGCCCCCCAGTAGCCCTCACGGAGGGGGTGGAGGGGGTGCAGCTGCCCCAGCCTGGGAGACTTCACCCCCAGGGCCTCGGAGCTGGGCCTTCCCTCCCCCCCCACATCTCAGCACAGACCCCAGAGGGGGCCTGAGCCCCGCCACAGAGGGGGCCACCCTCACCAGGGGGTGACCCCTCCCCTGAGCCACGCTGGGCACTGACTCCCCTCAGTTCCCCACGCCCTGTGCTCCAGGCTCCCCCTCGCCCTGCACGGGGCCATGCTCCGGCTGCGCTTACTGACGTGGGACGTGAAGGACACGCTGCTGCGGCTGCGGCGGCCGGTGGGGGAGAGCTACGCCGCCGAGGCCCGGGCACACGGGGTGCGGGTGCAGCCGGAGATCCTCACTCGGTCATTCCGGGAGGCGTACGGAGCCCAGAGCCGGCGCTTCCCCAACTACGGCCAGGGCTGGGGGCTCAGCTCCCAACAGTGGTGGGTTGACGTGGTCAAACAGACCTTCAGGCTCTCGGGGGTACAGGAAGATGGAGTCCTCACGCTGATGGCAGAGAACCTCTACCACGACTACTGCAGCGCCGGTAACTGGGAGGTGCTGCCGGGAGCCGACGAGACCCTGAGCCGGTGCTGCCAGCGCGGCTTCCGCATGGGGGTCATCTCCAACTTCGACAACCGGCTGGAAAAAATCCTCTCCCGGTGCAACCTGCGGCACCACTTCGAATTCGTCCTCACCTCCGAGGCGGCGGGCTTCGCCAAGCCGGACAAGAGGATCTTCGAGAAGGCCCTGTGTCTCAGCGGGGTCCCCCCGGAGCTGGCGGCTCACGTCGGGGACGACTACACCCGGGATTACAGGGCGGCCCGAGCCGTGGGCATGCACGGGTTTCTGCTGCAGGCCACCGGGCAGGGCACGGAGCCGGAGGTGCCCCCCAAGGACATCCTGCCCACGCTTGGCCACCTCCTGACCCTCATCGAGAAGGGGTAGCTGCGTTCGGGAGGAGGACCTGAGCGGTGAAGCAGTCCTGGCATGGGATTCCGTGCTGCCGGTTGGGCAGGGAACAGAAGCGAGCGCTTTGGAGCACAGGGAGCAGTTCCCCGCGGAGCAGGAGGGGTGTCCGGACAATAAAAGTGTATTTGACACGCTCAGCGTTGCTGCTGCTGTACTTCATCGCTCTAAAAACACCACGGGAGAGGGTCAGCGGTGGTGTCTTCCCCCAGCAGAGTGGGGGACTGGGTCAAGCTGGGCTCCAGAAGGCTCGTTCTGGGGGTGGGATGGGCAGCACCCCCCCCTTCCCCACAGTGGTGGGGAGGGGGGGCAGTTGCAGCTCTCCTGGAAGAGTCTGGAGTTGGGGAATTCCACTTAATTTAATGTATGGCCAATTAATATAAACTTTGCATTACTGATTTGAGTATTGAGAAATAAAGAGGCATTTTAAACAGTTACGGAAAGACCTTTCCTGCCCTTCTCTGTGGCTCAAATTCAGTCCGACACCTCTCCTTGGCCCCTCCCTCACATCAGCTCCCTGTGTCTCCACCACGTTACACCCTCTTTGGTGGTGAGGAGCAGCTCCACTGAGGTTTATTTCTCCTCCAGGGGCCACAGCCCCCCAGGGGTGCTCCTGTCCTGTTGTGGGTCCCCCACAGGTGACAGCCCCCCTCAGTGTCCCTTCCCTGGCAGGGGGGGGCTCCTCCCAAAAGTGTGTCTCCAGCTGCGTCCCAGTGATGTCCCCTTCCATGTGGCTCCTCCAAACACATCTTTTAATATTTCTCCTGTGCTCTAAAGCCCACCACCAGGCTGGAAAGCTGCCCTTTGAATCATAGAGTCGTTAGAGTTGGAAAGGACCTTAAAGATTGAGTTTCAACCTGGGCAGGGACACCTCCCACCAGACCACGTTGCTCCAAGCCCCCTCCAACCTGGCCTTGAACCCCTCCAGGGATGGGGCAGCCACAGCTTCTCTGGGCAACCTGGGCCAGGCTCTCACCACCCTCAGAGTGAAAAATTCCTTCCCCACATCTCAGCTCCATCTCCCCTCTTTCAGTGTCAAACCCTTCCCCCTTCTCCTAGGGCTCCCCTCCCTGACCCAGAGTCCCTTGGTGGGAGAGGAATTCAAATGTTCACCCAAAAGCAGCCGGTGGAGCCGGGTGTCACCCTGAGCCCTCACCCCGGCGCTGGGGGGAGAGGAAGCTGCCATAAAACCCGTGAAGAACAGACAGGGTTTGAAGGCAGGTCGTGTCTGAACGCCACAGTACAGGAGCCACTGGCCCCTTCCGGGCTCCTTTCCCCCGTGCACAGTGTACATAGGTGCAGTCACTCTGTTTACAGCCCTGTATTCACCCCCAGCGCGTGTGTCACGCCTGGCTCACTGGCCCAGCGAGATGCTCTCGTGCGCCACAGCGAAGACAGGGTAGAGGGGCTCCGCGAAGGTCTCCCGGTGGGAGAAGAGGATGGTGCAGGAATCAGGGTCGTAGAAGAGCACCTCCCCTGCCCCAAAGTCCACCAGCACCCCGATCTGGGCTGGGGCTCGCAGCAGCTCCACCGCCCGCGGCTGCCCGCCGTGCAGGAACCGGAACTCCTTGTCGTAGCGGGAGAAGACCCAGGAGGCGGCGTTGAAGCCCAGCCGGGCTTCAGTGCCCGAGCCCTTGCGTGGCAGGGAGCTGTAGCAGACCCCCAGCTTGTAGGCGCAGCTCTTCTCCACCCTGACCTTCCAGGCACAGACCCCCGAGTGGAAAGCGGTGGTGGCCAAAGCGTTGGGCCAGTGGTCGAAGCGCTGGGGGCAGTCCAAGTCCACCTTTGCTTTCTTGGGGCTAAAGGTCAGGGTTTTCTTGTCTTCCGACAGGCTGAGGTGAGGGCTGAGGGTTTTCTCGTCGATGTGAATCTCCTGGGAGCCTGCAAGAGAAGCCACACAGTGAGCACCGGCTCAGTGGCCCCTGCCTGAACCGCCTGAAGAAGTCACGGCCATCAGAGACACAGTCTGCACCCCCGGGGTGACACGGTGTCAGTCTCCCACAGAATCAGAATCACAGAATGGCATGGGGCTGGAAGGGACCTCTGGAGATCATCCAGTCCAACCCCCTGCCAGAGCAGGGCCACCCAGAGCAGGTCCCACAGGAATGTGTCCAGGTGGGTTTGAATGTCTCCAGAGAAGGAGACTCCATCACCTCCCTGGGCAGCCTCTGCCAGGGCTCTGCCACCCTCACAGCAAAGAAGTTCCTCCTCATGTGTAGGTGGAACTTCTTATATTCAAGTTTATGCCCAGTTCCCTCTTGTCCTGTCCCTGGGCACCACTGAAAAAAGATCGGCCCCACAGCCTCCCCCCTCAAGAACAAGGCAGAGACTCCTCAAAGCCCAGGTTCCACTTCTCCAGCCTTGCACTAGAAACCCTGCAGAGTCAGAGAAGATGCTGCTCATCTTACTCTGACCCTGGCCCGATTTTCCCACGAAACGCAACTAAGCACGTTCAGTTCATCCCGCTTTTGGGAGAAACCTATATCCGAGCCCCTGTCCCCTCCCATCCCCACTGCGGGTGACTTCTCCCTGGGCCAGGGCAAGCCAAGGGCCTGCACAAGGACAGCAGGGCCATTTGCAGAAAACCTGCAAAACCGGTAATACCGGAATGAGGAGGAACAGAGGAATGGAGAGGGCTGGGCAGGGGAAATCCCTTTCCTCCTGTAAAGCCCAAATCACTTATCAACGCACTCTGAGTGCTTTTGGGGCAGGTGGAGCTTTTCGGAGGTGGCACCAGGCACTGGAGATGAGCACAGCCACGACCCAACTTGGTTTTGCCCTGAATTATGAGGCTGCCCCTGTGCCACAGCACAAACCCAGCGAGCGGGGGGAGAGCGGGGCTGGACGGAGGATGGTTGTACCCGCTGAGGGTCTGCTCCACGTCAGAGACCTGACAGCACCCACACAGCGGGTGACAGACCCTCAGCGGGTCCCAGACCAGGTGTGAGAGCTGAAGAAGCACACAAAGGGTTTCCCTCGCTCTGCAAGTTCGCTCAGCAAAGAGAAGCTGATGCCCAGCTGACTCACCGGCTCCCGGGGAGACTGAGTTTCTGCCTGTGGGTGCCCCTCCTTGCCCTGCCTTCCTTCACCCTCACATTTTAGGTCTCAAACCGCCACAGGAACGAGGCTGGGGCAGATGAGTCACCTGCTCTCCCAGCCCCACCACCGGCAAAAGGCTCCTCACCGTGTGGCTTCTACCATATCACGTTATTTCCCAACCAGCCTCTGCTCGGCATCCAGTACGTGGCAGGATGAGGCCCTTAAAGAATCAAACCATCACGCTGCAGCCTGGATGGGGTTGTCCCAGAGCCCAACCTGCTCCAGCATCCATGGACCCAGGTCATCCCTCCGAGCAGAACAGGTCGAGGGGTTTCCTGGGGCTGCACCCACCCTGGTGCTCCTGGGCAGGAAACACAAACCAAGGCTGGATGATGGGTTTCTACACAGTGGAAACACCACGCAGGCTCACGCGTTAGGTGGCAGCTATTGCGGGCACCGGTGAGCAGAAAGAGGAGCTGAAGCCAGCATCCCCTTCCAGCTGGAGCAGACAACCCCATTCCGTTGATGATCTATTTCACCCAGCAGCCACCAAACACTCTGCACGGTACCCTCCGAAGGTCTCCTCAACTGTATTTCCCCACACTGCCTGTTTGTAGATTGACTTTCCAGGAAGCCAGACACTGCTATGAATTCACAGAAAACAGAGCAGCATGAGACTTTTATCTTCCTCTGACAGAAGAAAGGCGCTAAACCTCATCTTGTGCACCACACATCTAGCCTAGGCAGGGGGTTGCATTCTGGTGTTCACATACAGGGGTCATCTGCAGGAGGAAATGCCACCCCAGCGACAGCCGTGGGGCTTCGTTGTGGAATTATGGCGAGGGGAGCACCTGAGGGAGGGGAAATGCTGCCAGAGTAACAGCAGAGTAAACTCAGATCAGCAAACCTTCCCGTTTTGTCATGATCAAATCTGCCCTCTGATATTCCCATATAGTCTGATGAACAATTTCACTGGGAACTCATCTCACCCCAAAATCTATTTTCTCTGTGTGCAGTGCCCACGGGAGCAGCCTTGCCACTCCAGAGGGAGGAGGGATGCTGAGTATGCTAACACAGCCAACATCCCCAATCAAATTGGTGTGTATTAGCTGTACTACCTTTAAAAAACTAAGTTCCCATTTCCAAACTCGTACATCTGAAACGAAACTCCTCATACCTAGATTTAGGCACCAAGGTGGAATAGCCAGAGCCAGCCTGATCCCTGGGGCAGAAGGTCACCGTGGAGCAGCCCAAGGTCTCAGCCAGCTGGGACAGCCTCAGTCTGTGTCACCCCTGCAGAGGGTCCTCCATCAGGTCTCCCACCAGCATCGCCACTTCCCTGCCCCCCAGCAGGACTAACACGGGGGGCCATGAACCCAGACCCCTCCCAGAACAGTGCCAGAAGTTTTACATCATCTCTTGGTTTCAGAAAGAAGCTGCCAACCCCAAACATAAGCAATACAGAAGCCAGGATGCCAAGTGAAGGCATCAGAGGAATCGTGTTTGGTTTTGAGAGCGAAATCCACTCCCAGGTTCTTTTGCCTGCTGGTTTCTAAAGCTTTGAAGAGGCTGTGGGGCAAACTGTCAAGGCTAGGAATTTACTCTTTTCAAGCAAATCAACAAGTCTGTCACCTGTTCAGCAGCCTTTGGAAGGAGGGACCACCAAGTGAAACGTAACAGTCCCATGTCTTAATGAAAGTTAGGACCATAGTACGCCTGCAGTTAATATTAAATTGCTCAGGCTGGGTCCTGGGTGGACTATGGACCAGTGAGATAAACAAGGATATGGCAGGCATCCTCAGTGTGCAATGTCAAATGTAGCCAAAAAAAACAACCCCAAACCCACAAACCAGGGTGTAATAATAGCACCAACAGACTCACTCCTAGGATTGAATGCCGTAGAGTCATTACATTTGATAAGGATGCTATTGGGAAAGGAATCTGTAAGAAAACCATGTCAC